TCTGATGATGGAGGCAGTATGACCTCTGAAACGTTGGTTAACATCGACCAGACTACACAGCGCAATAACCCAGAAGACAGAAATCTTCATACTCACCGCTGTGAGAACCTCAAGTCTTACATCCTTGTTGTTGTTGTTGTTGTTGTTTCTCGGCACTATAACCCTGTTGTGGGTTTTCGCCGCCTCCTTTTCGGAGATTTCTTGGTCTTGGTCGTGAAGTAGAGAGTGACCAGCCCACTGACTGCACAATTTCTATTCAATCCTGATTTAACTGCCAGAGCCATCTAGCAGTTAATCAGGAGACTTCGGGTGAGAAACGGCCGTTGAATTTTGCTTATGAAACATCTCGTATGGTAATGATCCTTAGGGTTGCAAAAAATATGGAATTTCTCAACCAGCTGAGCGACTAACAGCTCCTTTACAACTCCATGAAGCTTGTAATCAATGGTTATCACACGGATCGTGCTTGTAGAAGTGCAACGTAAAGTTTCAATAATGAAGTATATAATCAGTTTAACGTCAAGAGCTTTCCCTATTCATGCAATGGCGTTAATTAACCTATTTATAGTCCATCGTCCATCTGAAATGGTAATAAAAATATTTATTCTACAAAATTAATTTAGGGATTTTTGTTCCCGAAATAATAATCAGTTATTTTATACATCCCATTAATATAATTAATTTCCGATGCATATGCTTTGAAGTTTGAGAGAATAACAGGTGCATTCGTCAGCTATCAGTAATAATAAAACAAGTCTTGGAGAAATTTAATGTCAATATGTTAACTGAACTTAATTACACCTGACTTTTTAACACGGTGAGAACAGATCGTATTAAATAAAAGGGAAGTTTCTTGTTCAAAAAGTATTTTGCTCCATTAAATTTGAGTTTCTGAGTTATCTAGTTGATTAATTGCCCGATATGTTGGATTGTTAATTACCTGATGTGTCGGTTGAATAATCTATGTCAAGTATAGCTGACTTAAAACTCTTACGATACTACTTGACAACTGAGAGTTATTAAGTCTGTGAAACAGCAAAACACAATTGCAAATAGCCATAAATAATGAATCGACATAATATAAAATACAATTCGTCCTAAGGTTAATATTAAAGCAGTTTAATGGCAATCATCATACTACCGTTTCAAGTCTGTACATGATCCATTTCAAAACTAACACACCGCCATTTTTTAACAAGTCATGTGATGTCTCGACAGACTGCTGAGTGTTCGTAGGGTGGGAACGTTCTGTCTCGTAACGAAGACAATTAGGTGGGACTATCATCTCACTCCGTGTCACACAGCCTTCAATTAACTTTCTGAACAGCATCGCAGCAATCGGTTGTTAGCTGCTACGACACTCTGCGCCCATGTTATCATCATATGTACGATAATTGTTTTCTGATTTATTTACAGTTTCTGTACCTTATCTGACTGCGAACTAAAATAACTTTCGAGCATTCCTATCTGATAAGTGATAATGAGCGGGGCATGTAGCACGCAGGCATACACAATTTTATTTGGAAAAACTGTAGACACAAGACCGCTCGCGATACCTAGACGTAGATGAAAGAACAATATTAAAATGGATCTTAAAGTCACAGAATATGAGGGACTAGACTCATCACGTTTGCCACAGGGCCCAATTAAGGGATTTTGTAAAGACTGGAATGAACAACTGGGTTCTGTAAAGGGCGGCGGGCTTCGTTAACCGGTTTAGCGACTATCAGCTTCTCAAAAAGGGCTCTAGTGCATTGATTTAGATAATTGCTGCAGTCCAGGCTACATTTTGACTAGTAGTTCCGACTAGTAGACTAATTAAACCATTGCGTTTGAATATTTATAGTGTTTGACAATGTCTCCTAAAAACACAGAGAGAGAGAGAGAGAGAGAGAGAGCAATGACTGTGGTGACAGCTTGTTTGTCAGTTATATACTTACTGCTGTCAATTGAGCCATGAAGCAAACGGTGGTTAATTTGGTAACGTGCATTAGATTCGCTAATTCAAATGTCTATATAATTCACTTAATCTTTTTGAAACACACTGTATTTTAATCTTAGAATAAAATTAAAAAAATACCGCAACTCAATTACAAAAAAGTTAAATAATACCAGAGCAACTAATAAAATAATTCTGTCCTGTAATGTAATTACCGATTTTTTACTAATTCAGAATATCCCTTCCACCAATCAGTCCAAATTGGCAAGGTTTTACCGTACAAGACACAATCCTGTTCATCTGAGATGTGCTAAATCATAGCTATCTTATTCAGGCCTAAAATGTGTCAATTTGACCAGCAGAAAAAAACCCTCTACAACCATAAAAGATAAGCTAAATCTTCATACTGAATGTAACTACTAGACTTTATTGTTGCGACGTAAAAATACTCTATCTGTCAAATGGGACCACTATGGGGCCTATTGTAAGAAACATGAGTAAATATGGAACAGCGGTGGAATTACGTTAACTGGGGAAAACCGAACACTCGGACAAAAACCTGCCCCAGTGCCACTTCGCCCACCACAAGTCCCATATGGACTGCCCTAGGCGCAAACGCGTACCTCTGCGGTAAGAAGCCGGCGACTTCTGGCCATGACGAGGCCACATGTAGCTACTTAATCAACAAGGTTTCTGTCCTTCGTGTCATGTGTAGTTGGTGTAGTCACTCAGCAAGTTAAACTGCCATAAAATGGGGTTAATGAAACTTGCAATATTGTATAATATGATCAGAGCACATAATGCACACGTGGTAATAATTCACTAGAACTCACGTACTGAATAGTTACTTCAAATTGTTTTTTAACACTGATGTTTATATCCTTTATATAAACCTTAAAACCACGCTCTTGTAACAAGAATGGTGAAGTAAACGACCCACCAGTAAATTGGTTCATTGGATCGTTATATGATAATACACACAATAAAAACTTAGTTTATATTATAGGTCCTATATTGATTACCCTAAATAATGACTGGATCCCATTTTGAAGCAAACAAGTACCGATAATCCTATAAAACAACTTCACCTAACATAACGTTTTAATTGTGAATGCCAGTAAATGACAAAAAAGAATATATGCAGAGTTCCTGATCTATGTTATTTATAAACTGTAATAAACACGAGATGAATTCTGAAGACTCTCTAATTCTTTTTACAGAGGCATATGTCCGAAAAATATTTACAAAATCTTTCAATTCTTCCCAGTCTGTTAAAAAGTAATGGAGTTCGATCAGAAGTATTTACAAAGGGGTCTAAAGTAGCCACAATGCTTACATGAGACACACAATTGCAAGGTTAATATCTCAACGTTACTCTGCATAACTCCGCCGGGACACAACTTTGCAATTACTTACCACTTTCCACTCCCCTCTGAAATGTCGTGGCTTCAAAGAAAATCACAAATTTTCACTCAAGGAAATGAATTGTCACTCAAACACAAGCAAGCTTCTACGCGACTGCATTTTACGCGGAAAACAAACTTCAACACAGTTCGACTGTCTCGTCCAGGTACTTGTTACTCGTGATCACAGAGAAAAAACTCATGTACTACAGCGAAACTTGTGACAAACTCGCATAGTTCACCAATCAGCCGACACGGTCAGCGTCAGGCCATACGTTAAACGACATTCGTAGAAGAACTGGTACATCGAAAGGCAATACAAACACAAAAATAAATTCCGGCCGCCAGATTTCTAAGATAGTCGTGAATTTGTACATAGTGTAGTTAAAATTCTAGAGCTACATAAACTAATCATTTAGAATATTAGTCGAAAGCCAAAATGAGCATTTCTAAGTACACACGTGTAACAGTGGCATCAAAGGGAAATTTGGCCTCCAAGTATTATCTTCAGAATTTTTTGTTCCAACACAAATTAATTATTTCCTGAAGAAAGAAAATTGACCAGGTGCGTGGTTTAACAAGATACACATTGTAAGAACAAGGAAATAATTATAACTCTGTAGTAGTACCAAAATCATAAAAGATTTTACAAAACAATACTTTTAGGAGATGTAAATGAATCGAAAACAGATGAAAACGAAGGTCTCTTAACAAAACCCGCAATTTTTTGTTCTTAAACTAAGTACTGGTTTCTTATGTTACTTCAGTAGTATTGAAGCATACTACAGTGAACACCAATATCATTCAATTCTCAACTGTAGGAGAGATGGCAGGACATGTCAAATCACCATTGTGCTGCCATCTTCTATGCAACTAAACAATTCTTCAATACATTCTAACACCATTATAAAACATGAGAATGCTTAGTATCCTCGCCCTACCATCTAGTTACTAATCTGTGTAACTAGTTGTTTTCTTGATAAAAATGTTGGTTAACAGATGTGTGGATTATACTGACTTTTTATATTTGAGGATCTGTGGTTGCTGTTTCAGAAACAAGACACCAAAGTTAAAGATCTGTATGCTTTGTGACAAGTTGAGGTTAACTAGAATCAAATTTCAAATTAACTATAGCTAGGATATTCTTTTTGCCTGCCCACAATATACCTGAATTTATTTATGATAAATATTTCATTGTGCATGACAACCTACATGCCCCAAGTTCTCAAGAACACAATTGAAATAACGGAGTATATCTTATGCATTTTCTGTAAGCTCATGTCTGAGTTTAGTTACATAACTTCTTGCCAATTTCATTTTTGGTATTAGTTTCAAAAGTGCAATATTTCTATCTTGGGTAAACTTTAAAAATTTAAACATACTGTACCTTAACTTTGCTTGGTACAAGTATTAAAGATTAAACTTTTTCACCTCTTCTTTATTTAACATTTATCACTAGAGCATCACATTCCTAGTAAGCTGTGCATTGCACTAGCTAAACCATTAACTAGGGTCTGCCCGGAAGCCCCACGGTATAAGGGTTTAAATATCCTATTCCTGTACGATAATTGGTTAATAAGTGAGGATACCAGATAAAACCATTGTTGAAACTTCAGCTACATTGTGTATTATACACAAAAAACGCAAACAAATACAGATTATATTACTTGCATTTTGCACTTCCTAAGTTTATTGGTAACTCTGGAGATTTACAAAAATATGCAACATGATTTTTATTCTTCTTACAAAAAGGGCAGTGTATGTCAGTTTAGGTATAATAAATTTACATCTAAATTCACCAAACACTGAAGAACTGTAATATCTATTTCAGTTAGGTGACATTAAATTCAAACTTTATAGGAAAATTCATTTTAAAACATTTCTGTGATGAATATCTGACAGGGCTTGAGCAAATTAAATGGGGACTCATATTCTGTTTTTGGCATATTTTTTTAATTCTTCATAAAGTGAATTTTGGACAGTTAATAATGGTTTACATTATTTTAACTCTTTCACTGCAAAGCAAAGCAATAATATGACCACTAGCAGCCAGTGTCTCAGGAACTCACTTTATTGAGATTTTAAACTCCATGGCCCTGCATTATGTAGCAGACATTTTGATGGAAGGGTAGGACAAGTGTTGACAATATGTAGAATCTTTTGCCTGTATTAAATATATTATTTCCTGTAAGATTTGTCTGTTTTTCTTAAGTTGCACTAATTTGTAGGTAGCCTGTCAAGCAATAATCATGACTTCTTTTAGAGATAAACATACTGCTGATGACAATATGAGTAAACTCTTATCTGCTGATTCTGAATTGAATAGTGAATGTATTGGATGGTAACTAACCTAAACACAAAACAAAATTTAAAAAAAAAAATGTTCAGATTTATTCAAAGAGCCAAGGTATTTTGTCCCAATAAAAATTACGCAGGAAAATAGTTAATGTGCAACAGATGTGTAACTCATTCTCATCCTGTCCACACTTGAAGGCACAGATTGTTGAATTTCAACAATCACTTTCACTTTTGAATACACATACCCCATAAAGAAAAAGGCTTATAAATCATTATCATGCACACATATTATGTACAAAATGTTACATTCACTTGAGCCAGCGTAAATCTGTTAAATCATATGGCTTTAGCAACAGCACTCTGTATCCAAACATCTCATGGACTACGTTCAGAGCCCATTGTAAAACAAGTGCATATTATATTCATAATGCACTGAATAGCAGTTAAATTGTGAGAACATTCATATCACTTAGAAGCTACTTTTAACAAAAATGTCTGGTAAAATGGAACTTTATATCCACAAAACTGGCAATAAGATAGTCTACTTCACTATAATGAAACAATACGTGATCTAAATATATCTGCAGTACTAAAGACCAGGATTCCATAAACACAATTTAAATGACTTTGGCCCTGAAGAAACCCACAGCCTTCCACAAAGAAGATGTATAGAAACATTTCATAAGAGATTTTTAAAAAACTTGTATGTTAGATTTTAAGATCAGTGGGGGGGGGGCTTCAATTTAATTTCTGCACCTTCCACATTATAAAAAATTATCTATTGCATTTCTAATATATTTAGAGAAAAGTTAACACGTACCCACAATTAGCCTACAATGTCTTTCCCGTGGTGAACATACACATACATCCCATGGTGATGTATATGGTGACCAGACAAAACCGTACACGACAAAAATGCACACGAAAATTGCGCACAGAAAGAAGCTCACTGTCATAAATGCTCACAATATATACTTGGAGCCCTATCTTCCATACGAACCCCACCATTTTGGAAGAATACTGACATATGCTCTTTTCATTTCCGTATTTTTATATAATGGATCCCTCTAAAAACATTTTACATGAGTATTCTATTTCAATGGTCTTACCTCAATATTTCAGTGATAAATTCCAATTTTAGCATCCAAATCCAGAGAAACTTTAAATAACAATTTCACTATACTACATACAGATTTTATTAACAAAATTTTTATGCAGTTGGAAATTTATTTTTCTGACAAATATTTATATGGTGCCCAGAATGCATGAAATTTAAAGGAAACTACAGCAACATAAATGTACCAAAAGAGACTAGATCAGAGGATATACAGATGTCCAGAAATCATATACTACTGAAGATTCCATCTTCTTTTAAAACCATGTCTTGCATAATTTCATATTCAACAAAATAAAAATGTAACAAAAATCTGTGAATCTGCAGAATAATCAGCCACATTATTTCAGGTTTGCACTAAGTGAGAAAACATTATGTATCACAAGCAAACTATATTCAGTTTGTTCTCATCCAGTCATTTACAACACAACTGAATTAGGAATGGGGATTTACCTCGCCCATCTCCACTCATATAAGAGGTTATGTCCAGTTCCTTCATCAATACTTTTACACGACTATGCCAAATTGAATTTCTTTACATAAAGTGACTCCTAGAGCTTTAATTATTTTTTATCCATCTTCTTACTAAATTACTAACAGATATAAAGTTATGAAAATATATAAAGTAGAGTACACATATATTAATACATAATAAACGCCATCAGAAGACAACCTATTTCACTGTTAACAGAAGTGGGAATTTCTGTCATAGCAGCAGCAGTAAATACAAGGGGTTTGATTCAAGAAAACTTATTTAAAGCAGACACCTAAACCCTTACCAGTATCACACAATAATTTTTTATGAACACCTTATCTCTTAGCATAATAATGCAGTTTTCAACTATTAACTGAATGATATGAACCTAGGATGGTCTCTCAATTACGTGCATCTAAGAACTATACTAATATCAGTGAATGCTCTTATTTGATTTGTAATTTACACAATTTGGTGTAACTGATTTACATTGTATATCACCAGATAACTTTAAATTATAAACATAAACACATTCATTGCTAAAAAATGATAACTGTCAATTTGACACATTCGCAGTGAAACCTACATACGATTCAATTCGTGTCAGAAAGGACATCGTGTTACGACCTGAAAATTAATGTGTGAGAATTTCATATTCTTATATCTGAAACAGTTTTCTACATTCCCATCAAACATCACCATTTATAAATTCCCAGCATGACAGTGAATGTGTTAATTATATCAAAATATAAAGAAAAAAATTAAACCAAATTAAAAAATCATTTATAGCAAAAGTTATATTAATTCTGGCATATTATATCTGTCAGCCAAATCTTTAATAATTGATTAATTTTTTTACCTTTATCATTTGGGAACAGGGCATTTAAATGCCTGTACTTCAAGCTGCCAGCCAGATTTCAACACCTAAGTTAACCATTTAGCAGTATGCGAGTGCAATGTATGGCCAGATGAATTGTGTTTAAGCCGTGCCACATGGATGATAAAGGTTAACTTTACAAGAGAGTATAATCAAATTTTATAAGCTCACTGTTTCTGTAAAGAAAGTCTTCACAGTTCCAAAGTACGGTAAACCTAAATTATTTACGACTGCTTTAAATTACAAAATACATGTATTTTGATTAGAAATACATGCACAGTAACATGAGACTGTAATAAACAAATGGACCTAAGATGTGGAAGGCTGACGATAACATATACAAAGTAATGTTGCTATTGATAAACTCTTTCTAGAACACAGTCCAGCAAGTATGGAACACTTTAAGTAAGTATTAGTAACAAATTTAGAACATTTCTGTTATTGTTCTGAAATGTAAATTTTTATTCACTCGATTAATTTCTCTGATGCATTAAAAATTACATATCAAGTACGAAGTGGCAGTGCTGTGAAATATTACTTATATATACAATATTTATGCACACTTCAAATACAGGGACATAAGGTAAGAGGTTCTCACAGTGGTGGTGACACTGGCAAGAGACAGACAAGACACACTTCAGAGTTACGTGGATTATGAAAAAGAAAATATTATACTGTACATGTATGTTTTACAAATAATTTATAATAAATGTTGTCCTTTAACTACAGTAAGATATTTCTATTTTTCAATCACCTTCAAAAGTGTAAAATAAAAGTTATACAAAATTAAAAGTCAGTGTAAAAATCAAATACAATACTTCATAAGTGATATGGTGCGTGGCCTGCATAATAATAGAAGTGAATTGCCACCATCTATTTTATATGAGAAAATGCCCAAAGTTCACAACCAATGCATATGAGTGGCATGAAGCTCAATGAATTGAATGTGTGAAGTGTTGGAATTATGTTAGTGCTTGATACACTTAAGCATAATTTACAATGTGTACTCATACGTAATATAAATAGGTGAAGTAAAACATTTCTTAATAAATATTATGCAACACACACACTGCAGTATCTGGAAATTACAGCCAATCTGTAAAACATATTAGGAACCAAGTATTATTTCTTTAAATGCATTAGTCTCAGAACAAATCTGTTTGAAGTATATTTAACAGTATTTGCTGATTAGTACATTTTTAATTTGAACACGCACGCATAATAATAAAGAATACAAAAGTATGTATCACATATAATCAAGCTCTTCTGCTTAATGGAAAGTCAAAGTACAATAGCTTGTAAATTTTGATGGATGGAATAATGATATTAGCCGAAGTACTGTATACAGCGAGGCGTGATGCTGACCACTCACCCCCATCTACTGCCGAGGTAAAGAATGAGCAGAGCCCCCAAATGACCTATATGGCATGTAGCAGGACTGCTTTACTTTACTGTTACTGTATACAGACTGCGATAATTACTTCATGTTTGGAGTAGAAAAAAAATACTTGTTCTAAACCCTAATTCAAAGCATAAAAATTGTTGTCTGTTTCAGATTTTTCCCACTGTAATTTAACACAATAAGAAGGAAAAACTGGCAGTGGTATAGCAAAGTTACAGCAGGTCATGACTTGTCTGCATTCTTTTATTACGATGTTCCTGAGGAATACACTTGTAACAAGTAATGTCGAGCTACATAATTCGACCAGATCTTGTTAACTGCAAACAGTAAAAATTAAAAGTAATGGTAGGCAAAGAGAGAGGGTTCAGGCATATTTTGTATCTGTTTCAGAAATACCCACTAATCAGACACTACCTAACTGATTATTCTATAATACCTCTGACAGAAATCAACTAACTTCAGAAGCCGACAATCAATATTTAGACGGTTTACAATAAGTGTGGTTTTCACTACACGTTTTCATTCCATATAGTATAATTAATTGTAACGAACTTCACTTCAAATGTTTACCCACATGAACTCACCATTTTGATCACTGTAGAAATGTGTGTGTGTCATATTATTTTAGAGAAAACTGGTGCTTCATTTACAGTTGCCTTATACCTTGAATGTGGAGGCACTGAGTTCCTACACACCAGTAACTTTATCATTTAATGCAGAGAAAATACACAAATTGAATATGGATCATAGAAATCTCAATCCAACAGCAGTTTCCATTTTCCTCTTACATCTTATTATATCATTCCACGGACATTCTTATAAATGCAACGGGACCAAGAACATGTTATCAAATGCAAAATGTATTTATTCAGTAGATGAACATTCAGAATTCAAGTTAGAGATAATGAAGAGAAAGAAATGCATCTAAAGAAAAAGAAATCTTTGTCATAAAATTGGGCTTTCATTTTGTAACACAAAAACACTGGCACCTCCATGAAGTCTGCAAGTCATCGACTGTTACTAAAGAAAATTATGTTTATTCAAAGCTTATTTTTAATTCCATACAAGAAGAAGATTGAAACCATGCAATTTCTCCAATTAGCAGACAGGGAGAACTAAAGGGATGTGGCTTACTTCAACGTAAAGAACAAATTTTAAATACAGTTAAAGGGTCATGAAATTCTGTGTTGACAGGAGCACTCAATATACTAGACTGAAGTATGGTAATGAGCCATTAAGCTAATACATCACATTACCTGTAAAAATATTTTAATTATTATTTAAATGTGTTATGTCGCACGATATAGGATTTACTAAGAATAAATAACATAAAATATGTGACTGATTAAAATATTATGCACCTGTTGAAGAAATATACAGTACCGAACCATATTAAAAATCATAAATATACTTTTCACGAACTACTGCTTACTTCACCTTTTACATTCAATCTTACTCCTTTATGAAGTAGCTTTTTACAATAATTTTCTTTTTCTCTGTACTACACCACTGCCAACAGGAATACAAAATTAAGTTCTGTTCTACTCTAATTAAATCAACAATAATTGTCTTTCTTTTGGGGTGGGATGAATTAATGAATATCAAATACACAGCCAATTCTTTTGACTATAAAAACACTACAGGAACTCAAAAATGCCAGTGCACAATTTACATAACTAAGATAATAATAGGAAATACTAACAGTCTTCATTAACTTACATATATAACTATTAGTGCCATACTTTCATTATCAATTCTGTCAACTTAATATAAATAACTAACTAAAGAATACATTTATTTTTCTTTTATAACTAGATATCTCAGGTACAAAAATATAGTAATGTATAGTTCTTTATTATTATATTCTATACAGAGCTCAGAGTGAGACTTCAGAAGTAGTGGGATGATATGTGGAGTAGGGTGTTAATTACTCCACTTGAAATTTTTAATAAATTTACAGTCTACCTCTGTACAACCAAGGGTGCAAATATGAAATTATACTGCTTATGTTTCTCATAAAGAATCATATAATAATCTACAAAACAACATGCCTGAGATAGCATAGAGTGCAGACTTAGCTGTCTTAAATAAAAATCAAAGGCAATGATTTGTTTGAAAATAACATGCTGTACGGTTGTATCAAAATTTAATTTTTCAAAGTAATATCAAAACAAAATTTTTGAAAACTAAGATAGAGATTAGGAATGCAAAAGACATATATGCTTCTGTTATGCATCACTAAATCCAACTTCATTTTCAGGTTTCGATAGGAACCCCCAATTGCCTTATTGGAATATATCCCAGAGTATGAAAAAGAGAGTCATTCTCATACTTGCAACTGTCAGAATATGAAATCTTGCCTGCCATATCTTTGAGTAGGCATAATTTTTATTTCCATTAGAATCATGAATTTATAATAAATTCATTACTTATAAACAGTTATCTTTAATAAAACAATTTGGCATAAAATACAAATTTGTTAAAGATTGATACATTTTATTCATGGTGGATTAAGTATACCATGTCTCACTACACTACTTGGACTATCACAGTTTTCATTTTACTGTCTGAAGGCCAAAGTTGTTTGGCCAAATTAAAAATCTGAACTCCATTTTACCCTCCTCTACATTTACTCATAAAATTTAGTAAACTTTGGGTTTCAATAGTACAACAAAAATAATAATTATAAAGAGCAGGTAACACAACAACAAAGCATTTTAACACATTCACTAATAATATTAGTGTCTTCAGTTTATCAGATATGTTATAATACTGTCAGTGCTAAAAATCCCTGATTTAACATATAGTTCTTTATTACTGGGCTATAAGCTCCAGCATTTAATTACAAACTGCTTTCAAATACCCAGCAGTAAATGTGTTGAAATAAATTAAGAAAGAAACTTATCCCACTTTGTCTTCCTGCCACTCTAACCTCTGAATATTAGTGCTATAAACTAATGATATAAAATATCATCATCAGTATAACATGTGGTACTTCATTAAGATTCACCTGTTCCACCACCATTAGCAACAGTTTCTCCAGTAATAACTGATGTCTCGTCCTCTTCTTCTTCTTGGATTTGACTGCAAACACTTGCTGCAGGAGGCTTGCTTGTTTTTCGCGCAAATGCTGGTGCTCCATTATTATGTGGTGGCCTTCGATTTAGCAAGTAATCCAAATCGTGAGAAATTCTGTCCAACATGTCCTCTTCTGCTTCTGTTACTGAAATTACGGGCTGGGATTTCTCCCTTCCTTCTGGCTGCTTCCTTTCTGCAGTACTGCAAGATTTCTCTGGCTCATCTTCACCACATGTTAATTGTGGGGAAAGTTCCTGACCATCAGGTTGAGAATCACCATTGCAACTTTCTTCCTCCTCTTGCTCTTCCTGTGGTCCTTCATTGGTGCAGCAAGTATTGGTTTCAACAGCTGCAGTCACTTCAGCTAAGTCCAAAATTCCTCTGTGGCAAGGTTCAACATCAACACTGCATAAGACTATGGCTGGTGCTTCCAGTGTTCCTTGCTGGTCCAGATGTTGCCTAGGATCTGCGATGACACCTAACTCAACACAGACTCTAGTGGTCACAATCTCTTGGTGTGTGGATGTCACTGGTGGAGGAGTCTGCTCACGAATATAGCACTGTGCAGGTTCTGGCTTAGGTATAGGCATTGACCCAATGGTAGGAGTTCCACCATTGTGGTAGAATCCTCTCACAAACCTCCACTGATCTCTGGAACTAGAAAGAATTTGCTCATCTACTGGCAATCCGACATCTTGCTCCACATACTCACAGAAAACATCTGCATCCCTGCAGTTTAGCAACTGTTTTTTGTATTTGCGAGGGCTATTATTGTAACTCTCAAGGTCAACATCCTTACAGTCCCCCTTCAGTAGCACCCTGCTGTCTGACCCATGAAAGACAACCTTGGGGCCACTCACATTAACACCACAATCCTCCATGGAACCTTCCACACTATGGACAAATGTCTCAATTGTGCTGGGAGCTCCATCTGATGGAGGCGTCCTTCTATTCCTAGTTTCAACCAACAGCAAGCCTTCAGTTTGGTCTCCATCGCCATCATCTTCTCTTGCTGCTCCATCATGCATATTTAGGGAGCTATTAGGTCTAGGAGGTGGGCCTTCACTTTCTGCATCTCCTTCTTGTTTAGTAAAAACTGCACATTAAACATTTAAACATACAGTGTATGGTATTCAGACTACGAAACTGATTCATAATTACAATGAAACCTAAGTACTCAAATATTTACAATATCAGCTGGTGATCAGAGAGCAGCTCTCAAATCATGTCTATATATAAATTGCATGCAAAATAATTGTTTCTTATTTATAAAGTAACTCACCAACTAATATAGCAGATGGTGGAAATCATATTATTTAGTCCTCATACATAAGAAATATTTGTTTAAGTAGGATCTGAGGTTCTCACAGTGGTGAGAACAAAGATGGCTGTGTTTTGGGTAATGAGTGCAATGAGTACTGGCTCTTATCGCCCAGATGATGGAGACAACAACAACATTTGAAACGCTGGTAAACCTCTACCAGCCTACATGGCACTACAACCCACAAGACAGACATCTCCATCTAAACATGTTTTTGCATGCTGCGTTTGATTCTGAGACACATCACCGTGTTTCAGCCATTTTACTTACTTTTATATTGGCACTCTTTAAATAAAGAACAGAAACTTGGTTTAACTTGTATTACTTTCAGTAGTTTCATTCATTTTCTCCTTGTGGTTCATTACAAGACAGGCTGTCTTTCGGATATCCTCAGAAGTCATACGCATATAAAATGTAGTGCGACAAAATTGTTTGAATACATCCAGTGGTTCTAGCAGTTCCAACAGACAATTAAACACACTAGGACTGCTATTCTGTTGGAATGCTATTCACATAAATTTTATAAGACAGACTTCAACCATTATACTGAATAAAAAATATATTGGAAAAACAGCAGGGGCGAATTTAGTTTCCATGCAGCATCCACTCTTAAAAACAAGTTAAAACCAGTATACAGAATGATCTAATGAATTACTTACATCTCAGAGGGCTGTTGACAGATTCAGAGCTATAATCATCTTCTGGAGTATTTTCCAGTTTCAGCTTTCTTAGCACTTGGATATGAAGTGGGGTCTCACTCTTCAGGATATAGCACAAAAATATGATAAACCCCTGAAAAAATCAATAATGGTGTAAGACTAATGGCTAATAAAAACACCCACTCAAAGTAATGCAAAATAGGCTAGAAAAGCAATATTTGAACCAAATATGCCTCCTGATCATGAAATACGTGCTTATGCCCATCTTTGTATATGAATATTTCTTCACTACTAAATTCTGATACTCTGGATTTAGATTCTAGAGTGCATATATTTTCTCTGATTGTTTCAAACTAACAATATATGTCTCTCTCATTAGCACCTTGCTCTATCACTCAAGTTAATAATGCAGCATGACCCATTAAGTTTGAGCATACGAAACTCTTCCGTGAGCTCTGTAGTGTAGCATCCTGGTATGTTATGTTGAATTCTTGGTTTTTCTGCCTGTCACTTTTCACACACACTGTTCAAGTCAACAGACAGTGTGCAAAGTGACAGGCATAAAAAAAAACAAATTTTCTGTGAACAGTAATACAATTTATTGCAGCAACATTTTTGTAAATCAAAATCAAAACACATAATTTATATAATGTCTTTATTAAGTAAATTAAATCTGAAAACATTTCACAGTGACTGGAGCCAAATTCCTGCAATTCATGCAAAGAACTAGGGTTTGTCAGTTTTTAAAAACAGTTTTTTTGGATAAATTTGTAAAATTTAAAGACCGGTTTTTAAAATTTAAAAAACCGGTTTTAGATACTAGAATTAATATGTAAAAATTAATTAATTGAAAACGTTAACATTTTGACTTGAAATCGCCTCGGGCACAAGCATACTGTAGTGAAACTAATCTTCATGAGTCACGCGAATGTTTGACATGCAAATCCACAAACGCATTCTATTATGCTATTCTATGTGGCAGCACACAAACTGACCGATGACATCAGCTGTGTTGTTCACGTGCACCCCACCAGAAACAGATTCCAATGATGAATATATCGGAGACGGAGAAACTATTAATCAGGGCAATGCTCTAAAAGAAACCATGGAAAAATCAATTCATAGGTTTCTTGAGGAACCTGAAGAAATAATATCAAATCCGAAGACACTGAAGGCCGAATTTTCAGTATTTGAGGCAACTAATAAAAGAACAAAGAATTTAGATTTATTATTTGATGCCCTGAAGACGATAAAACCAAGTTCAGTAGCCAGTGAGAGAGTATTTTCTATTTCAGGAAATTTTGTATCTGAATAAGAACAAGATTAAGCAATCGTTCAGTGGACATTTTATATTTTTTGAAATCATATCTCCTGAAGAAAAATACTAAATGAAATAAAAATTTATAATTTATATTTTGTATGGATTTTAGTTATTTTAGTTTTTTATTTGGTTTTATATGTAGTACATTTTATTTTGTTATATTTTTGTAGTTCCATAAATATTAAATAAACTGAAATTTTTTAAAAAAAGTATAAATATTTTTTACTGTTTTAATTTTTTTTTGTAAAAATTTGAAAACCGGTTCAACCGGTTTTTTGGTAATACTGGAATTCGAAAACCAATTTTTTCAAAAGTCGGTTTTTGTATAAACCCTACAAAGAACATGCAAATGATATAAAATCTGAGTTGAATAACATGTGAAGTGTACTCACCAATAAGGCACTTGTGAAACTAAAAACATAGTGGCATGATGGGTCTGGAACATTGATGTAGAATATGCTTGAAGCTTCCATCGCTATCATTACAAAAAATATTATAGCAGCACGTCTCAGAAGTCCTATCCTAGAAAAGAATTATCTATTGAATTAGTATTTTCAACATATTTTGCCTAAAAACAAATTACAGACATATTACCCACAGCATAATGAAATGTAGTTTAGAACAAACAGAATTCAGAGTATTTCTTTATCACACACAGCAACTTTCCCTTCAAAAATGTTAAACATAAATTGTTCACTACTACGAGCTACTGTACACAGTACCACTATTCATTCTAAGGAACTCCAATGGCATCTCTGGTAATGCCTGTTTCCATTAACTAATACATTTTCCACATGCTTTTCTATATTCTTTAAAAAATGTAAAAATGACACATTGTAATCCTTTAATTTACATTGACTTGATGTAAATATGACACAAAAGTACACAAAGCATCTGCTAGGTATGCAACCTTTCCGATAAGGATGAATTGCTTGTTGTATTCCATCCTGAAGTTTTCCAACCTTGAACTTACAAGACAGAATTCAGAGTTTCATGCTCTTATCTGGCACTATGCTTTGCGCCTGTCACTTTTCACACACACTGTTCAAGTCAACAGACAGTGTGCAAAGTGACAGGCATAAAAAAAAACAAATTTTCTGTGAACAGTAATACAATTTATTGCAGCAACATTTTTGTAAATCAAAATCAAAACACATAATTTATATAATGTCTTTATTAAGTAAATTAAATCTGAAAACATTTCACAGTGACTGGAGCCAAATTCCTGCAATTCATGCAAAGAACTAGGGTTTGTCAGTTTTTAAAAACAGTTTTTTTGGATAAATTTGTAAAATTTAAAGACCGGTTTTTAAAATTTAAAAAACCGGTTTTAGATACTAGAATTAATATGTAAAAATTAATTAATTGAAAACGTTAACATTTTGACTTGAAATCGCCTCGGGCACAAGCATACTGTAGTGAAACTAATCTTCATGAGTCACGCGAATGTTTGACATGCAAATCCACAAACGCATTCTATTATGCTATTCTATGTGGCAGCACACAAACTGACCGATGACATCAGCTGTGTTGTTCACGTGCACCCCACCAGAAACAGATTCCAATGATGAATATATCGGAGACGGAGAAACTATTAATCAGGGCAATGCTCTAAAAGAAACCATGGAAAAATCAATTCATAGGTTTCTTGAGGAACCTGAAGAAATAATATCAAATCCGAAGACACTGAAGGCCGAATTTTCAGTATTTGAGGCAACTAATAAAAGAACAAAGAATTTAGATTTATTATTTGATGCCCTGAAGACGATAAAACCAAGTTCAGTAGCCAGTGAGAGAGTATTTTCTATTTCAGGAAATTTTGTATCTGAATAAGAACAAGATTAAGCAATCGTTCAGTGGACATTTTATATTTTTTGAAATCATATCTCCTGAAGAAAAATACTAAATGAAATAAAAATTTATAATTTATATTTTGTATGGATTTTAGTTATTTTAGTTTTTTATTTGGTTTTATATGTAGTACATTTTATTTTGTTATATTTTTGTAGTTCCATAAATATTAAATAAACTGAAATTTTTTAAAAAAAGTATAAATATTTTTTACTGTTTTAATTTTTTTTTGTAAAAATTTGAAAACCGGTTCAACCGGTTTTTTGGTAATACTGGAATTCGAAAACCAATTTTTTCAAAAGTCGGTTTTTGTATAAACCCTACAAAGAACATGCAAATGATATAAAATCTGAGTTGAATAACATGTGAAGTGTACTCACCAATAAGGCACTTGTGAAACTAAAAACATAGTGGCATGATGGGTCTGGAACATTGATGTAGAATATGCTTGAAGCTTCCATCGCTATCATTACAAAAAATATTATAGCAGCACGTCTCAGAAGTCCTATCCTAGAAAAGAATTATCTATTGAATTAGTATTTTCAACATATTTTGCCTAAAAACAAATTACAGACATATTACCCACAGCATAATGAAATGTAGTTTAGAACAAACAGAATTCAGAGTATTTCTTTATCACACACAGCAACTTTCCCTTCAAAAATGTTAAACATAAATTGTTCACTACTACGAGCTACTGTACACAGTACCACTATTCATTCTAAGGAACTCCAATGGCATCTCTGGTAATGCCTGTTTCCATTAACTAATACATTTTCCACATGCTTTTCTATATTCTTTAAAAAATGTAAAAATGACACATTGTAATCCTTTAATTTACATTGACTTGATGTAAATATGACACAAAAGTACACAAAGCATCTGCTAGGTATGCAACCTTTCCGATAAGGATGAATTGCTTGTTGTATTCCATCCTGAAGTTTTCCAACCTTGAACTTACAAGACAGAATTCAGAGTTTCATGCTCTTATCTGGCACTATGCTTTGCTTCAGGCATTTAGAAGGAGACTGATTGCACCTACTCATATATTAACTTTGATTTTGTAATCTAAGGAATTAATGTGTGAGATGTTTGATGTTTCAGATTTTGAGCACTTTAATTTTAAATTGTAGTCTTAGACATTGTAAGGTACCTAACAATCTTAGAACCATATTAATGTAACACAAAAACTAATTTATTACATTACACCATAATATATGCACCTAAATTGTCAAAAATGAAACACCATTAATCCATAATTGTTCCTTCCATCTTTGATTCTATTACTCTCTGATTATGAATTCCACTCTCAAATAAAATTTGAATTACACTGATTACTTCTTAGGATATTTAATTAAAGTTTTTAAAATGGGTAGATTATGTATCATTAAATAGGAGGATAATCTGAATCAAATCTGTCAAAAATTAACACTCAACTACTTCCTCCCATACTTCATGATCATCTACAATTATCCGCTCTTCTCATTCAGCTCCGAAGCTGAACAAGTGTTGTAATATATCCTATGAACATACAGAAGAGTATTTATTTTGAGCCATAGCCTACCTCCGCCCTATAGCTTTACTTCCGGCAGAATTCTTGCTGGAAAGAATGTTGAGCCGTCTCATGACAGTGAAGTACAGGAACACAAACAGAATCAACATAACAACAGCAGATGCTATGAAGATGTTGAACAGCATGGTGCCACATAACAACCACCATGATTGGAGTTGCCAGCCAGTTGAATGATGTGCCAGATGGTTGCAGAGAACAGCCAAAACAGGTACGCCTGTAAAATGTATTACAATTCTGATGAGTCACAGAGGGTCAGCAAACCACCGTTAACTCTGGATAAATATAACTTCATTTCTATGATCAACTACAAAAATTAGGGTATGAAATGCTATAATCTTCTGTCCTGAGTCTCGCTGATGATGATAATTTCATTGTAAAACGAAATCAATTACAAATGTTACTTACTTACTTCAATTCAATTCTATGCTATTGTATTCTATTCTTACTAATACTTGGTGTAACTTGCAAGTACAGTGAAAAGTCAAACAGCTGCCTCAAAAATCTGACCAATCCAGTTTTTAGAAATAGTCTTACCCTTTTAGCTATTTAAATGGAGTGTACAAAGTTAAAATATTTGGGAACAACAGTAACAAATCAAAAGATACACATGAGGAAGTTAGGAGGAGATTAAATTCTGGAAATGCTCGCTACTTCTCACTTCAAAATATTTTGTCTTCCTGTCTGATTTCTAAGAACCTAAAGCTTAAAATATGAAAAACAACAATTTTTCCTGTTGTTTTATATGGGTGTGAAACATGGTCTCTAACTCTGAGGGAGGAACATAGATTGCAGGTGTTTGAGAACAGGGTGCTGAGGAGGATATTTGGGCCTAAGAGGGAAGACGATGGGGCGTGGAGAAAACTGCATAATGAGCTTAAAAATTTATACTCCTTCCCCAAAATTGTCAGGGTGATTGAGTCAAGAAGAATGAGATGGGCGGGGCAAGAGGTAGTCACCGGGTATTGGTCGGGAAGCCTGAGGGGAAGAGACCTCTGGGGAGACCTAGACATAGATGGGAGGACAATATCAAGTGGAATCTATGGGAGATAGCAGTTGAAGGAGACTGGATTTTGTTGGCCCAGGACAGGGTCCAGTGGAGGGCTTTTAGTTAATTCGGTGATGAACCTTTGGGTTCGGTAAGCCATCTAGTTAGTTAGTTAGTTAGTTGAAGCCATGCAATGTCCATAAAAGTAAAAAACAAGGGATTTTCTATAGGTTTGAAGAAGAAATGTTTGACTTGAAGTACCACTATTATGCTGGAAGCTACTGTCTGAGATATATATAATATATTCCCACCTTGAGGTTAGTGATTGTCATTGTACTGACATACACATTTTCATGTGCCATCAAACACCTCCACTTGTATGAAATTAGAAAAATTACTACATACTGAATGCCTTTAGATTAAAATTATCAGTCCTCAATTCAATCTAAAAGTGTGTAAGCATACTATAAAATTTCATACACATTAATATAAACAGTAATGAACCTTCGGGTTTCATAAAAGGCAGGGAATATTTTGGCCCACCGAAGGCAACATATTTCCTTCTCATGGACTCTCTGCTTCAATGGAGTTAGAAGTGGAAACTGTGTAGACTGGATTACAATGTTCTACAGTTTTTTTAAAGACCTTAACATCTTCATCAACGCTATTTGAAGCATCTAGAAGCATTCAGAATGCTGACATACAAAGAACACACATGGAAACCATGTAATCCAGAGAGCACAGCACATTTCCAATCTTGTTACTTTTCATTATGTTCATCAATCAACTACATGTGAAGGGTGCATGCAGATGTTAATGGACAAATAGCAGGTTTACCTGTTATGATACTGACAACTGTTTGCTTCATGTGTTGTACTTTGGGAATCTGAATCACCTCAGTGTAGACAATCAGCAGCTTGCTCAGATGAGAAGACATCCCAATTAGAAGGAAAGCTTCCAGACTTGTTGTCACATATGGGAAAGAGGCCTGCAGCACAAAAATCCAAGTTCCAAGCCAAAAGTTATAATATAAATATGCAAAATTAATACACCTTTCATACAAAAGGAGCAGTGGAAGACCAAAACAAGAAGGGCAAGTCTGACCTTTGGTACTGAATCACGGACGGCATAGATGAAGACGCCCATGGCACCAGAAGTAGCAGTACAGCACTGGAGTTTAAGGAATATCAGGCATGTTTTGTGGTGCCACCAATAGGGCAGCAGTAGGAACAACGTAAACATGGCCTGCACCAGACAACACACACAGCCAACCAACACAACTGTATGATACTGTTCTGACACTGAGAGAGGCAACTGCAACAATTACAATAATGAAATGCATAAAATTTCTTGACACTTGGAAGTACACTGCACACATAACCGTCTGTCGAGAAACATGTTGCTATAATTAAGGTACGACCACTTCCTGGCCCATACTGTCAGTTTTACTTTTGTTATTAATTCAGTGTACACATAATTTTCTCTTTGCTAGATTTATTTTATGGTCTACACCTGTAGTTTCCATCCTTTAATTCCAATTACATAATTAATTTATTTAAAATTTATAAAACTGTATTGTGTCATATAACAATGTAACTTGTACTTATAACTCTGTCCCATATTTACCATTATATATTTATACTAGTTATATTTATGGTGTCCTTCTTTTATCAGTTAAATAAAATAAATGGGAACTGTATAATGGAAACTATTCATCCCAAGATGGAACAGATTTTATTTTCAAAATACTGTGAATATCAATCATATAGTAACAGTAATAGTAATAGCAGCAGAAACAGCAACAACAACAAACACGTGCAAAGAAATAAGATAACATGAGTTTTAAAAACATTCTATATATATCAAATATCTGAACACCAATGCAATTTAAAGTAAAGTCTAAATTACAAATTATACAAATTTCCCCAACTATAACATTAAGCTCTTCAAAAGTTTAATTAAACATATTTCTTGGAGAATGAACATTTTCCAGAAACTGTGTTATATCTTGAAACTTGTGTCTCCATAAAGTATAGCATTAGAGGGAATTGATGAAACTAATAAATGTATGGCCAAGAAATAGAGTATTCCTGTAACCAGTGAGCACTGATCATATAAAGGCAGAGAATGCTCACCAAGTGCAAAGTTAGCACAAAGCATACTATGCAAGTTAAGTTCAAAATTATGAAGAGATAATTAAAAAACAATGTGTGTGCTAAAGAACTGAAAAAAAGAGCTTCATTTGGACAAGTAACAATTTTTCCCTCAACTTATTCACTGAAACGGACATTGCCTTTTAGTCATAAAAATATGATAATTTATTTAGATACACAAGAAAGCTTTACATTTGTGGGCCTTGCTGTAAGAAGTGCTGCATAAGTTCCAGGCTGATTACATCTGCATCTTGTTAGGTTGGTACCAACTGTTTGTGTGGTGCACGCACTGAAATCCCACGAGTGCTCAGTAGCAGCAACATTGGTCACCCCACATGAAATATTCCACTCATCTATGCTGTAATTCTTCACTGTATGTTCAAACTCAAGGTCCACGTGGAAGACACCCTGGCTCGGAACGTATCTCTGGCCATCTCTTCCCACCTCCACGGTAACCATTCTAGAGTTGATCTCAAATTCCATCTCATTACCATCCCTGAGGAAAGAAATTTGATTTAATTACAGAATTGGGTAAAAACTGTCTTCTGGGTTGTTGCACCACATACCGACATTGCAGAGGTGCTTGCTGCCTCTGAAACCAAACTACCTAGTACAATAACCTAGATTCTAGGTCCTAGAAGACAGTCACCTCCAAACTTGCTATCATGCCAACCTCAAATCTCACAAAAATAACATTGTTTATGTTACATCACTACACAGTCATAAAGAAGAAAGGTAAGATAAATGAAAATCTGACATTTATATAACTGATATAGTCGTAGTTGTATGGGCATCGAGCCGTAAGTTTTCACTGACAACAAAAACAAAATCATGGTAAGTGGGTACATCTTATAAGAAGAATATGTTAAATAAATAATCATGTAAGCAAACTGTGAAATTTGAAACAAAAATAAAACAAATTACACACAATAAACACAAAAATGTTCTAATGAATAGAAAAGTAAAACCTGGAAGTTTAAGATATTTATTTGAATCAGAATATCTACAGAAGTAATACACGCACTTAAGAGGCTTTACAGATTAAAATCCAGAATGATATTCTACAATCCCATCGAAGGTGGTTTGACTTGCTCACCTAAAGATAAAAACACCCAAGAAAAATAATCCCACAGGTCCATAAGAGGCAACATGCCTAGGTCCAGAAGTGTGAGATTTAATCAGAGGGACAAAAAGAATTTTAAAATTCTGTAATGAACAACCTAAAAACAAAGGAAATTCTACTTCTGCTCTCCATAGCATTCAACACATTAATACAATGCATACAGTTACCTCAATTTAGCAACATATCTCAGTGGCAGGAATTCTGACAGATCCCTATAAACAATTACAGCTATACTGAATGTTCCATTTCCAAAAGCATCCGAACTGGGTCCTTCTATGTGGACATCAAGCTGATATGAAAACCAACTGAAAAGATATTAAGAATCTCATTAGAATTATAGCTCATGCTGAGTAGACAGTAATTTCCAGTCATGGTATTAGGGATGTATTTGACATCTGAAATGCATGAAAATGCTTGTATAATGTACTGCAGAAATTTTGTATGTG